AAGAGGGGCGCAAAGGAAGCTGCATGGAGAACTTGATCTGCCATGCCTGGAGTGTGGGGGATAGTGAACTGGAGTGTGACAGATGCCCAGTGGGGAGAGGCTGTTGCTATCTGCCTGAGGGGGGAGAGAGAGAATGAGACCAACAGAGTAAGAGGGGCATTCCCTTGCTCCTCACTCAGGTCCCAGGCTAAAGCTGGCAGGTCACAACCTACTGACTACACTCAGTTCTTTCATCATACTTCTTATATTTGTTAGTCTATTTACTTTGTTGCACCTGCATTTCCTTTTGATACAGAGACTGTTTGTGAGCTAGTATCAAATACCATGATTCCCCTATTATGCATCCTCCTCTAAGGGGCTGTCCTTAGAGCTGGCAGCACTTCCATCAAGAGCAGGGGCAAGAATGTGTGTTCCACAGGGACCAGATTGAGGACCCAAGGATAGGGGCCAGCCTAGAGCTACCCGGAGAGGGGATACTGCATTAGTTTCCTGGAATTATAGAAAAATATCACCCCAAGATTGGTGGCTTAAAATGACAGGTATTCATTCCTTCACAGTTCTTGAGGTCAGAAGTTTGAAATCAGGGTGTTGGCCAGACCACATTCCCTCCATATGCTCTAGGGAAGAATCCATCCCTTGCCTCTCTTCCAGCTTCTGGTGGCTGCGGGCATTCCTTGGCTTGTGGCCACATCACTCCAATCTCTCTGGTCACATTGCCTCCTCCTCTTCTGTCTGTGTCAAGTCTCCCTCTGCCTCTCTCTTATAAGGATACTTGTGATTGGATTTTTAGTTCTCCCTGGATAATCAAGGATAATCTCCCCATCTCAATAATCCATAATGTGATCACTTCCACAAAGTTTTGTTTTTGACATAGAAGGTCACATTTACAGTTTCCAGGGATTAGGACATGGACATCTTTGGGGGGGGCATTATTCAGCCTACCATAGGTGTGGAGTCCCACCAGAGAGTCTGTTGGGTGGACTGATGGATGAGCAGGGCTTTTGGGCCCAGGAGGCCTCACTCATGAAGTAGATGCTTCAATATACTCCTTACATTTGCCAATCCATGTACTTTGTTTGCATCTACATTTCTTTTTGAGACAGAACTGATTTATCAGTTAGTATCAAAATACTATGATTCTACTTTTAAGTATCCTCTGCTAATGGTCACACTATTCTGAAGAGTAATCAGATCATTGTGGGGGCATGTCTATACAATGGAAGAAGAATACTACCTCTCAGACAATCCTGTCTTCCAAGATAAGTAGGTCAGTGCCTCAGTGAAATTATATAACCCTTGGTAGGTGTTTTTTCCCCCTTGGTAGGTTTTTAGATTGTCTATTTGTAGTAGGTAGGTTAAATATGGCTACAAATTCTTTGTTGCTACTTCCATTGAGAGATGGAGTCTAATGCTTGGCCAATAGAATGTAGCAGAAGTGATATTCTGGAATTTTCTGAGGCTTGGTTTTAGGAAACCTGCAGCTTCTGCCTGGGTCCCATGACTCTGTCCATCATGTTGAAGAGATCATGACCTATAGGCACTCTGGTCATCCCTCACAGCTAAGTCGGGCCTTTCAGCCACCTTACCAAGGTGCCAGGGATGTAAAAATGTCTTGGACTCTCTAGAACAGCCTGTCCACAAGCTGGACACCAACAAGTGAATAGAAGAATCACACAGCCACTCCCTGCCTAAAATGCCTGAGATATAATGATGGTTGTTGTAGGCCACTGAGGTCTGAGTAGTTTGTTAAGCAGCAAGAAATAACTGGAACAGCAATATGGAGGAAAGAATTTTGGAGTCGGGGCTGGACTCAAATTCTAGCTTCATTATTTATTATTATGTGATCACATTATTGTGTGATTGTAACAAGTTACATAGCTTCTCCTAGCCTTGGTTTCCTCCTGTGGGAGACGGAGGTAGTTATATCTACCTCCAGCCTCATCATGAAGACAGAATGAGAAAAACAGAAGAGTCTGGCACATAGCGGGTGTTCCGCAGAGTTCCTCTTTCCTCTTCTCAGCCTCCCCACACCCTCCTCCCAGTGCTTGCTGGGATTCCCAGAGAAGGGCTGCAGCAAGCCGTACCACCTGCCTCTGCTTCCCGCAGGACTTTATTCTCTTCTCGATTTTTCCCAGCCACTCATGGCCGCAGCTGTTAAAACCCATCACTTAAGATGTTGGGGAAAGCACAGAATTCCCAAAGCATGCGCCTCATAAAATGACTCTGGACCCTTGTTCTAGAAAAAAAAAATTATACTTGACTTTTAAAAAATTTATTGACTTGAATACCTACTCTGCTTTAATAAAGAACCAGGGAAGGAAATGTAGAGGGAAAAGGGAGTTACAAAGAAAACTGGATTTAAAAAAACAAAAAGCTTGTAGTCCAGGAAGCTATCAGTTTTTGTTTAAAGCTATCAGAAGCAGAAGGAATAGGGGCTCTGTGTGCCGGTAGAGGAGGTGGGATTGTCATAAGCCAAAAGTAGAAGAGGCGGACAGGCTGGAGGCTCCTTCGCCCTTGGGCAGTCGTCAGGCAGGTGCATAGGTGCGGCAGGCCCCTGCGGGCACCAGCTGCCTCTGTGGCAGCTCCAGACAGGAGGCCCAGAAATGGACATTTGAATGATTCAAACACCCTAAGCCGCTCATGCTTTCAACAGCTTTGCCACATTTACTTGGCACGATTAGCAGAAATGGGAAACTGATGAGCTCACACTGCCCTTCCTCCTGTATTTCTGAGAGTGCTCTACACTACACAGCAAGCCACAGAGAGTCGCCCTTTCTTCCCTGCCGGCAGCTCTTTTCACAAGCTTTACCTCTAAGAAGCTCAATCTTCATCCAGACTTTGAGCCAGGACCCCCCATTTGCTTTCCATACTCCCCTCTTTGTCCTTATCCCTGCCTCTGACGTGCTCGCACTGCAGACACCTGTGGGATGTAATTCACCACTGGCCTATTAGGCCCTGACCCGAGGTTTGGATGCCTGTTCCTTCTTTGCATGTTTGTAAATGAAAGTTCCATCAGAAATGGAACTCTCTATTCATGGTAGCCAAATTATGGAAAGAGCCCAAATGTCCATCGACCGATGAATGGATAAAGAAGATGTGGTATATGTATATGTGTGTGTGTGTGTGTGTGTGTGTGTGTGTGTGTATAATGGAATATTACCCAGCCATCAAAAAGAATGAAATCTTGCCATTTGTAACGACATGGATGGAGCTAGAGGGTATTATGCTAAGTGAATAAGTCAGTCAGAGGAAGACAAATACCATATGATTTCACTCATATGTGGAATTTAGGAAACAAAACAGATGAACATATAGGAAGGAGTTAAAAAGAGAGGGAAATAAACCGTAAGAGACTCTTAACTATAGAGAACAAAATGAGGGTTGATGGAGGGAGGTGGGTGGGGGATGGGCTACCTGGGTGATAGATATTAAGGAGGGCACTTGTGATGAGCACGGGGTGTTATATATAAGTGATGAATCACTGAATTATATTCCTGAAACAATATTCCACTGTATGTTAACTAGAATTTAAATACAAATTTGAAAAGAAAAAAAAAAAGAAGTGGAAATCTCTAGTAAGTGAGGGAGTCTGTCCAGGAAATTCTAAACACTTGGACCTCAGAAAGGTGTGGATTAGTTCGTGGTCAAATAAATGACTATGGCTAGTATTTGTACCTGCAATGTTTATAAAGCATTTCTGAAGTTAGACTTATGTTAAGCCTCACAATTCTCCAGTGAGGTAGGAAGTAATCCCATTTTATGGGGGGAAAACTAAGGTTTAGAGAAATTGTGCCCAAAGTCATACATAGAGCTACTAAGGGACAGAGCTGGACCTCAAATCCAAGTTGTTTGGTTCTAAATTCAGTTCTCTCTCACCATTTCATTCTACTTTCTGGTTACAATGAACATTATTAATTCACTCTTTTCCTGCCCCTGGGTTGGATTTTCAAGTAGGCAAGCATGACTTTTTTCCTAACATCCAGGATTTTGGCTGGAGAACTAACTGCAGGGCACTGAAGCCACACAGATTGTTATCAACTCAGCTGTCCTCATATTCCAGTCAATTTTCCATGAGCTTTTAAAGAGTATTAGAAGTTACCATTTGTGGAGTTCATTCTAGAACGCCAGACCCTGTGATAGTTCCTTAACATACATTATCCGATTAATCCTTGTACCAGCTCACTGAGATCTTCCCATTTTGCAGATCAGGAGACTGAGGCTCAGAGATGTCAAATAGCTAATGAGCTATGGAGCTGGGATTCAAGCCTGACCCTTGACAGGAGTCCTGGGCCTCCTGCTCTCTCCTTGGCCACCCTACCCCCAGCCCCAGGTCCTTGCTCTCCCTGCCACAGGAGCCAGGGAACCAGACTCTTCAGCTCTGTCCTCTCCCTCTATGGGTGCTCCAGAGGGGATTGCCCAGGGATAACAGGGAGGGATGGTAGAGAGGGGTACAATGCTGGACAGATCCAGGTGGTGCTGTTCACTGCACAAGTGCTAAGGGGAGGTTTGATAGAAGGTCCCCCAGTGATGAGTGTGAGTCCGTCCCCCAGCACAGCATGCCACAACGAACTTTCACTCATCAGAGCTACAATGTGGTTCCCAGAATCACAGGATCATTCCTGCAAGATGAAGGGTCTATTTGTAAATTTGTGTCTTTATCAGATTCTGAGGGATCTGTGTTCCTGCCTTCCCAAAACTCCCCCTCCTCCCTACTTCTGTATGTATGAAAGAGCCAAGAAACCCATTTGTCCTCTTGAGAGGGGAAAGGCTGTTATAACAATATGAAAATGGGTGGCCTTTAGCCTAACTAGGGACTAGATCTCCAAGACAATAAGTTTATAAGGAAACCTCTGGTGACCAGTCTCCGGCACCTCACTCCGCCACAAGTGGTCACCACAACTAAGCAGGAAGTCTCAAATGGTTTCTGAAGACAGGTCTCAAGCTTTGTCCATTTTCCATCACAGGCCTGTGTGGGAAATCTGCAGCAGACTCTTGAGTTTGACGAGGAAATTCTTTATTTAGTGAGGATAACTTGAAGTAAACTGTTCCCATGAGCAGGTTTTCCGATGGTCCAGATCCTACCCATAGCGATTTCTAAGCAAGAAGATCAGCACAGCAACAATTAGGCCAATGACAAATAAATCCCAGTATGGTCCAAGGGTGTTGTCCAATTTCATCCATTTCCATCTCATGGTGAACTGCTGGGAGAGACATTCTGTCAAAAAAAATCCAAGCCTTCCACCCTCTCCAGAGCCATCATCACCTCCCATCCCACCATCCAAAAGTTGCTCATTGTTGTTTTCAGAGATTTGGGACCTATTTGAGACAAACTTACATTAAAAAACAGGATATCTCGGAGCAAATGCACGGTTTCCAGTTTCATGAGGGCGAAGAAAACAGGTATGTGAGCATCCGGACTCGATTGAGCAGCCATATCATATAATCTCCTGGCCAAGTGAATGTCCTAGAGATGGAAAAACAGCCCCTACTCATTAGGTGCAGATTCTTTAGGGGTAATTCAATGAAAGCCATTGCTTGAAATATCATTATTTATCTTTGGTAGGCCCCCTCCATTCCCACCAAGATATTCATTCAGCCCCTAACCCTTGGAACCTGTGAATGTTATGTTACACGGCAAAGGGGACTTTGAAAATGTCATTAAGGTTACAGACCTTAAGACAGAGAGATGATCCTGGATTACCTGCGCAGACGCCATAGAATCCTGTGAGCCCTTAAATACAGTTTTCTCATGGCTGAGGACAGAAGATGAAAGATATGGCAGAAGGCTTGGGAAGGGCTCCACTCACCATGGCTGGAGGGGCCTCTCAAGAAGAATGAGAAGAAATGCGGGCAGCCAGCAAGGAAATGGGACCCTCAGTCCAACAAGCACAGGAAACTGAATGTGCCCAGGAACCCGAGGGAGCCTGGAAGTGATTCTTCCCCCAAAGCTCCCAGGAAAGAACACAGATTGATTTTAGCCTGGGAAGCCCTACACAGAGAACTGGTCAAGCTCACCCAGACTTTTGACCCACAGAAACTGTGAGATAATGTGAGTTGTCTTAAGCCACTTACATTTGTGGTGATTTGTTACAGCAGCTGTCGGAAACTAACACAAAAAGCCTTCTTGTATACTGCTGGACCAGACCTTAGATATGATTCCTGTTAAAGAGGCAGAACCCTAGATACCAACAGTACAGCTCCCCAAACAAATAACAATACAGATACTAAAAAGCATGTAAGATTCCTAGTTTTCTTCATAGTACTTATCAGACCTGAAGTTCCAGAATTTGTTTCTTCATTTGTCCTTGTCCTCAAGGACCTGGACAACCTGTTAGCCCCTCAATTCCCAGTGCTCAGTGAAGTGCTGAGTACATAGCTGGTCTCTGATAATACTTACAGAATGAATGCATAAACTATTTAGTTCTCAGGCTGGAATTTGATTCCTCAAATGACATGCTGTATTTCTAGGGACCTTCCCCCCCCCCCCCTAAATTAGGCCATGGCAGATAAAAAAAATTGTTTTCTTTAATTTTTACCTACTTAGGGCTTTTTGTTTGCTTTATTTGTGCTTGTTTTCCCAAAGTAATGAAAAAGCTAAATATAGTTGCTTTTAAAGATTGAAGGGCCTTGGGCCAGTCCCAGAATTGTACTTAGCTGGGTGCCTTTTCCAGTGGATAAGAAGAGAGATTTTTCACAAACTGTGGTTATCCTTTCTCTCTTTGTCTTTCTTCTACATCTCCCAAACCTCCATTACACAGAGTGCAATTGTTGTGAACCCCTGTGGTCCCTGCTAAACCCACTTTTTGGGTGGCATTCTCTCTCAGCTGTGTTCTGCTGGTCATTTCTTAAATTTTTTCCAAAGCTTTGTGGTCCCATAAGTTGATTTGTTGGAGAAAGAGGAATGTTCTTGCTTAAAAACTTAAAATGCAGGAGACTGTTCTGAACAAATCTTCCTGGCGACAGAGAAAATGGATGCTGTAAAAACTCTAATTTGTGTCTCTAATTCCAACAAATTCAGTGGGTGTTCATTTGAAAGCACCCTGCAGATTATAAGGGCTGTGTTACCCCCACACATGAAAGGCATATTGACTTTAATAGGGCATCCAGGGAACAGCAGCCTTTGTCAGTATCTCAGGCATTCATTCTCATTTGAAGCAGGCAATAGTTATTATTTCTTGAGGCACAAGCATCACAATTCAGTTGCTTAGTTTATAATAAAAACTAGCAAGAAGTACCATTAAAGTGGGATGGGCTCACTCCTTGCCCCGGGGACCTCACAATTCTCAGTGGGGGTGAGGCCGGACATGAAAGTCGTTCTTTAAAATTCCCAGAGAAATTCCTGAACCCACAGGCTAATTAGGACAACTCATATACAAGAAATTTTATTAGTAGGCTGTAGAAAAGACTCCTTGCTCTTTGATCCTTACTTAGGAAAAAAAAATCCAAGTTTTCAAACAAAAAATTTATTTTCAAAATGTTTTGATGATGGCCAAGGTTCATTCAGTAAGTCCACTGCACACCCAATCCACTGATACTTAACTTTCCTGTGGTACACTTGAGCTTATTTTGCTTTAAACTCACTGACTGAGGAGATGATGTAAATGGATCTGCAGACTCTTCTTAAATAATGTGTTTCCAACTAAAATATCAGGTGTGCCAAAGTACTACCCAATGTTCACATGTTCAAAATAGCTTCTTATAATTCAAAAATACAGAATTCTCCAGCAATTCTCTGGCTTATGAAAATTGTTCAATTACATGATGCGGGAGTTTTCCAGCCCTGAATCTTCAGGGGTCATCAACAACTTCTTATATGGGGACAGAGGTCATTTTTTGAATAATTTAATCTTGTTTTCTTACTCTAAATATACCATATTCTAATAGGAGAAAACTTTGAAAACATAGAGATGAACAAATATTAAAAGCCCATCTACAATTTCACTGTACAGAGATAAGTACTGATCATATTTTATATACAACCTTCCAACATTCCAGCATTTTTATATAGATTCAGAGACACACATACTTTTAACTTAGGAATTTTTCACTTTGCATAATATTTTGTCTTTTGCTTCCTTAATAATATATTTCAAACAACATACCATGTCCTAAGATATTCCTTTAGTCTATAATATTTTTATTTTTAATAGTTGCATAGTATTTCATAATAATGGATAATGCCATTATTAAATACTTCTACTGTGTGCCAGTCGCCACTGTCATTTATTTAAACCTCGTGACAATTATATAGGGCAGATGATATTAACTCTACTGTAAAGGTGGAGAAACTGAGGCACAGAGAGGTTAAGTCACTTACCTAAATTCATGGGACTTGTGAGTGGCAGAGCTGAGATTCAAATCCAGGTAGTCTCCTTCTAGCCTGCTCACTTAACCATGGGGCCATAGAATAGATAATACAAAGGTATACCACCACACGATGGTTTATAGAACATGCCTTCTATTTTGGAGAAGTTGTTTATTTGTAGGTTTTTTTCTGTAATGAAGTTATCTACATACAATTTTTTTGTTTTGCACACTTCGGATTATTAGGTGACAAGGCATTTATTTCAAGAGAAGTCATGGCCATTTCTAAGAGCTGTGTTCTGTCTTGTCATATTTCTTAGAAGGCCATTCTAAATATCTAACTTGAACTTGTCCTTTCCAGAAAATAATTCTATCCTGGTATTTAAAGCGTCAGCTCTAACACTCCATAAGCGGTCAGACCAGACAAATGAGAAATGAAAATGCTTCATGCCATAATTACTTTTATTTGTGACAGGTCTATTTATAATTTATTCAGGGGGTGTGTTTTTTGTTTTCTCTGTAGGATCCCAAAAACGTGTTATCTGCTAGATCTAACTATATACGCTGGAAACTCATCTCCAAAGGCTAATTTTCCCCCACGTTTTGTCTTAATTTAGGATAGATTTCTTAGTCATTATCTTAAAATATACATGCTTTCTTCCATTACAAAAATTGTCATGTGTTTCTTATGCTTCATGTTATGAAATCACTTTAGAATAGGACCCAGCGGTACTGATCCATCCACCTGAATTCATTGTTCCCTTCTTCACATTTTCACAGCACTTTACTTCTGTGAGCTTGCACTAGTGCCATTTTAGGACATGTCTCTTCTTCTGTAGAAGACTATGAGCTCTTTGAAGGTTGTCTTGTTCTTGTATGCCTAGAATGAGGTACAGTGCTTCCTGACACAAAACAAGCACTTGATAAATATTTGAGTGAAAAAATAAACAAAGAACAGCAAGGCAGAGTACCAGGGTAGTTTAGAAGCAGATGCAGATATCTTTCAAATCTGGGGGCTCATTGAGGGGTTCATGGAGGAGATGATATGGGAACTCTTCTTTGAAAAATGCAGGGAGGGGTCTTCAATGGTCAAAACTGTGAGAGGAGATCATTCCAGCAAATGGGCTGATACGACCAAAGGTCAGGAGGGTTTTGTTCAAGGTCTCTGGTTGCGGGGGTAGGCAGGACAGGTAAGGAAAAGAAGTCTAGAAGATATATAGGGAAGTAGGTAGGTTAGGTCAAGGAGGGTTCTGAATGCCAGAGTAAGAAGTTGGGACTTCATTAGGCAATAAAAAGTCAATAAGATGTTTTTATTTTTGTGTTTGTTTGCTTGTGTTTTTGTGTGTGTGTGTGTATATGCATGGTTTTGGGAAGAGTGAGGTGGAGTAAAAATACCAGATTTGTATTTTATCAAAAATAACCTGGTAGTGCTCTGTTAGATGGATTATGTATTAACTAAGGTAATGCCCTAACATCTGTAACAAGTAAAACCCCAAATTTCAACATGGGTATTCCTGGTTGGAGATGAATTTTCTTCACATGGTCACCGAGGGACCCAAACTCCTTCCACCATGTGGTTCTGCCATCCCTTCGAGCCACTATGTATTCTGCATTCAATCAATGGGAGGGCAAAGAGACTAAGGAGAAGCCCCATCTACTTCTTAGCTGCCTTAGCCCAGAGATGACACCCTTCACTTTTGCATCCATCTCTTTGGTGAGAACTAGTCACATGGATGAAAGGGAGCTAGGAAATGTAGTCTCTGACTAAGAGACACATCTCAGCAACAAGTCCTCCCTGTGAATTGGGGATTAAAGTCTTTGGCAGACATGGCTTTTTCTGCCGCAGATTTAAAGGAAGAACACTAGAATGGGAGACCACTGAGAAGCCTTTACAATAAGCTGACAGGAGTAGAAACTCTGGTCTGAGCCAGGAAACAGACAGAAGGAATGGGCAGGAGGGGATGGGCAACATGTTTTGTTCATGGTTAAATTTCTGAAGCACTTTTGAATCAAGCATAAGTTGAGATAGAGTTTCACAACAACTTGTGAGCTGAGTGCTTATATTTCTACATTAGTTCAGTTCCTCTCCCAGTTTTTCCTGAGGCATTATTTTGTATTCCCAGAACAATGATGCAGTCAGTCTTGGCCCACATTTTAAGTCAAGGAGCTCATTGAGCTTAATTTAAAGTCATAAATTAGGGAATGAGATGCTTCTCAGTGAAGCCATTAGGATAAGTCACCTACCTAACCCTGGTCCCGATGTCCTTTCCTAAAGCCAGATGAGGACAACAATGACCCATATTTTTATATTGATTTATCAAGGGTTGATGTATATACCTCACCTCCTTCTCCCAGAGGGCTTTATGTTTACAAAACCTTTTTCGATACTCAGAGAAATCCTGGTGATGATATTATTATCTTTCCCACTGGTTTCCCTGAGGATTAACTAATAAAGAGGACTGCGAAGTGCCCTGCCGAAGAAATGCTTAATTACTTGATGACTTAAATGCTGTGAAAGTCTGTTCTCCTAATTGTTTTGCTTTCATTAACCATTGCTGGAACAAGCTTTCGGCTTTTAATGATCAACATATTCATTTTAAGGATTAGAAAAGGTGGTATCTTCTTGTTAATTTGACTCTGAGATGGCAAGATTAATAAACTTGGCCCCTGGGTACCTGGTTATTATTTTTCTAATTGCGAAACAGAAGAAATTAATAAAGACAAAGAGCAATGACTCATTAACTAAAAATAAAATCCCCATGTCTGGGTCTGAGTACAGCTCTGTTTTCCGGTTTTTGTTTTTGTTTTTGTTTTTACATGTAGAGACTTCTGTAGGAAAAAATACACCTGTGACTTTGCGATACTGATCAAAATGAGCTACCCATGATTCAACTGGACCTGGACAGGCAAGAACAGAAGTGCAGCCAGAGAGAAATTTCAAAGTTTTTTCTAAGTGTTAAATGTATGGCTCAACAACTGCTATTTGACACTGTGAAGAAAGTGCCTGGGAGAGAGGTTTCCTCCAAGGAGGAAAACCAAACCCTCTGACACAGTGGGCCATCTGGGCTCCCATAGACAGTGTCCTCTGTTGCACAGTTGGCCCTGTGTCCTGCCTGTCCCCAGGGTCTTAAGGCAAAATGGCCTCACTGTGGTGAGGATAAGGCTGTCATGGGGACCAAGTCCTGGAATCACATAGGACAGGTGAGCTAATTTAAATTTAATCTGTAGAGTGGGGTCACTTTTATCCATGAAACACATAGTGCTCCTGTCACCATTATTGTTATATTTTGTATGAGGTATGACGAACAAAAGCTTTAATCTTATTGAAACTTTACTTAGCAGCCACTCAAATTCTCTTCCGATCTAAATACCAGTCATTGCACACACTGACTACAGAGCCCCTTCACAAAGGCTTATTGTTTTAGTTCTAAGCCTGGGGAGGGGAGGTATCACTGTCCTGTTTTACAGCTGTGGATAAAGGTTGGAAGGGAGTGGGGTGTGGCTAAATGACAGGCAAAGAAATCTTCTGACTTAGCTATTTGATCCCATTTTATAAACACAGGAAGCTTGTACCTGCTAAGAATGGGGAAAACAGACTGGATTTGGATTTGACATCCTTTCCACTGCTTAGGGTGCTGGGGATGATGACAAGTGATCAGCCAAAAGGCAGGCCACAGGGGGAGCTCAGGAAGGCAGGGATTTGGATTGTCGGTGCCTGAATATGAAGCCCCTGGTTGTTGCAGGGTGTACCATTAGCAGTCAGATAGGAAATTCCCTATCAACAACTCTCAACTACTAGCACAACTGGAAGAAAGAAGAAAGCATAGAAAAGCTGATAACCCCCTCACTTGGCTCTCAAAATGCAGTTGGGAGTATAAACTCTGATATGAAATATATACTTGAGCACTAAGAAAGACTTGGTGCAGGGCTCACTCTGACCCCAAAAACATGGGGTCAGACAGGCCTGGGTTCAAATTCTGACTCCACCACCGATAAGTTCTGCAAAATTGGCCATGTGGCTTAACTCACTGCACTCTTGGTTTCCTGAGGCATACATTGACTCCTTATCTCGTTGAGTGGTTGTGTGATTTAAATGGCATAGTATAGGGGTGCATGGGTGGTTCAGATGGTTGAGCGTCTGCCTTTGGCTTGGGTCATGGTCTCCAGGTCCTGGGATCAGGCCCCGTGTCGAGCTCCTAGCTCAGCAGGGAGTCTGCTTCTCCCTCTCTCTCTGCCTCTCCCCCTGCTTGTGCTCTCTCTGTCTCTCTCTCTCAAATGAATAAATAAAATCTTTAAAAATAAACAAATAAATAAATGGCATAGTATATATAACACACCAAATGCCTGGCTATTACTATCATTATTGATATTTAATACATCTTTCTCACTGTGTCAGAACTCAATGCCATCTTCTGCCTTAATCACACTTACTAAGGGATTTACCCAACATCTCCTTGTCATGTTAGCTCTCTCTCTCTCTTTTTTTTTAAGATTTATTTATTTATTTATTTATTTATTTGACAGAGAGAGACACAGTGAGAGAGGGAACACAAGCAGGGGGAGTGGGAGATGGGGAAGCAGGTCTCCCACGGAGCAGGGAGCCTGATGCAGGGCTCGATCCCAGGACCCTGGGATCATGGCCTGAGCCGAAGGCAGATGCTTAACGACTGAGCCACCCAGGCGCTCCAGCTCTCTTTCTTAATATGCCTTATCTCCTCAAGTAAAGTGTAGTCTTTGAAGGACGGAGATCTATTTTCTTAGGATACCCTAGAGTGCTCAGCACTGTGTCATGTACACAGTGGGTGATTTATAAGACATTTCTGGATTAATGTCACCTTGGTATCCAGCTCTGACCTCATTCCTACTTTCTCCTTGTTTATTGACAGCTTGAGTGTCAATGGAAATTTTAATGGAAAAAGGCCTGGAGGTGGAAGGGAGTGGGGGCAGGGCCCACTACTATTGCTGGAAAAAGCTTGAAGTTATGAATCTAATTAGCCTAGACTAGATTAATTTCAACTCGCTAGTTACGTCTTCAGGCATAAATGGAGAAAATAACTTCGTCCTCATAGGGTTCATGTTAGGGTAACTCTTACGTGTTGGCACGGGGCGGGGGGAGACTCAGCAAATGTTGTCTTTTCCTTCCTTCCTCTACACTGATGACATCAATGAAATTAAAAACATTTACAAATTTTCCCTTCCCATACAGCTGCCGTTACTAGGTTTGGATTATTACCTTTGTGATACCTAAACCATGTTCGTACATATAGGCCAGGTTGAACATGGCTTGTGCGCTGTGGTACTTGTCAGCTGCAATGCTGTAATGTGTGGCTGCTGTCTGGTAGTCTTTCTTAGTCCCGTAGCCATAGTAATGGTAATCTCCAATTTTTACTCTAGCGAATGCATTGCCTGATAGAAATTTTAGAAAGAGAAGAAAAAGAACTCTGATGATTCATGTACAGTTCCTAGTAACTCAACCTAATGGTAATATACATTAAAAAGAAAAATAAAACACTCAGAATCTTGGAATCAAGATTAGATATAACTTCTGGAATATAAAATATAACACTCATCTTTAGCTGTCTTCATTGCAGGCATAACTCCCATGATATAGTATGAATGTTCTTAAAGAATAAAAAATTGGGAATTTTACCTTTTAAATTCATTTTTTGAAGGTAGGTCAACTCTTGGGAAACTGGATCCCACCCCTCTGGTTCTCAAACTTCACCCCTGAAGCTCTACTCTCTTGCATCACCCAAGTCTCCTTCTTTCCTACATCAGTCCCATTAATCATTTAAACACACTTTGGTATCTTCTGTCAACAAAAACACATCCTCTCTTTATCCCATGGTGTGTCCTTCTAACTACTCCCCACTTCTCTGCTCACTTCACACTCAGCCTTTTCCAAAGTGTGTTCTATACTCACTGTCTCCAAAGCTTCACCTCCTACCCACATACTCTTCAACCCCCTCCAATCTGGCTTCTGCCCCTCTCCATGAAACTGCTACTTTCAAGGTGGTTGATAATCTCCATGCGGGTAAATCCACCAGTCACTTCCCTGTCCTCATCTCACTGGACCTCTATGTAGCCCTGGAGTCATTGGACCTCTATCTGCCCACGCACTTTTCTCTCTTGACACCAGTGACCTTGCATCCTCTTGATTTCCCTCCTGTCTCATAGGCCTCTCCTTTCCAAACTCTTGCCTGATTCCTCCTCTACCCATCTTGTAAATATTGGAACATCAAGGGTTTATTAGTTGACTCCTTTTTTCCCTTTCTTCTCTTCCTTCTTTTCTCTTCTCTTTCCTCTCTCTACTGCTCTCCTCTATCTCAACTCTTTTTCTAGGTGATCTTGAGTAGTTCCATGCCAATCTTGATATTCACTCTTCCTGAATTTCATCTATAGTCCTGTCTCTCCCCAAGCCCCCAACTCCTCTAATTGCCTCTTTGATTTCTCTACTTGGATCTCAAAGCATGCAGTAGAGATTCCTGACACTGTGCTACCTACCTCCTTCAAACCAAATCAAACCAAATCATCAGTTCCTTCGCAATCTCAGTGCTAGCACCATTGTTCAGGCCATAAATCTAAGGTAGTTATTCCTAGTTATTTCCCCCTCATTTCTTATTGAATCCTTCAGCAGGTCCTACCTCTAAAACACACCTGTTTGTTGCTGTCTCCTGCACCACCTAGGTCAAGCCTCGAGTACTACAATAGCCTCCAAACTGTTCTTTTATCTCCACTTTTCAATATCTTCTTGATACAACAGCCAGGATGAGTTTTTAAAAAGTTTTATTTATTTATTTTTAGAGAGGGAGGAGAAAGAGAGTGCTTGTGTAGGGGCGTGCATGCACGAGTCCGGGGGAGGAGCAGAGGGAGAGAGAGAAACTCCAACAGACTCCCCTCTGAGCGCAGAGCACCATGCAGACCAGAGATTAAAACCTAAGCTGAAATCAAGAGTTTGTCGTTCAACTGACTGAGCTGCCCAGGCGCCCCCCAGGATGATTTTTTTTTTTTTAATGTAAAGTCAAATCCTGTTATTCCCCTGTTAGCCCCAAAGTGATTCACTTTGCACTTGGAATAATACCCAGACTCCCTACCTGACCTCCCAGTCATGCTTCATCTGCCTTCCGCCTCCCTGACTAGGCTCATCACATGTCACTTTCTTGATATGTTCTAGCTTTCTTAATATTCCATAATACTCCTTCAACACACCAAGCTCATTCTTGCCTCAGGACCTCTGCATTGAGATTCTTCATAACCCTTTGCCTGTCATGTTTGGACTTCCTCTGACTCTTCATGTTTGGTTTCTCATTATTCAGGTCTCACTGCAAATGTCACTCCCCTCCTAGAGGCCTTCTCTGACTGCCTTGTCTAAAGTGTCCTCTCACCCCCACCCCAGGAGTTACCTATCTCACCTCCATGTTTTCTTTCCTTCACAGCACATATCGCTAATTATTTGTTTACTTTCTCTCTCTCTCTCTCTCATGAATTTATTTTTTCTCTCTCTTAGGAGGACAAGAACTTTGAAGTTCTTGATCACTGATACTGTCCCAGACCTAGAATGGTACTTGACAAATATTTATGGAATGAATGGACAGATATGGTAGGAAACTTTTTAGAAAATCCTTTTCCCAAATGTTAAATAATTTAGGATCTTACTTTCCAACAAAATTGGATATATTCAGGAGTAGAAAAAAGTTCACGTGACTTTTTAAGATATGAGACTTCAATCTTTCAAAGGCCACTTAGGGATGACCTCTAAGGGTCCTTTTGGGGTCCATGTTTCCATTCACTAGGAAAATGTTCATTGAAAAGATGAGGGAATGCTAATCTAGGACATCCGTCTCAGGTGTGGCCAACCGCTCTAGCATGGTCTAGACTTACTTGGAAAAGGAGGAAGTGCCCTGTGTAGTATGGTCTGAGGTATATAATTAAGGGCTATAGGACTCCTTCCATCCAAAATTTTCCCCATATTTGACCAATGCAATGCCTAAAATCCTTTGGAACTGATTCCTCTGGGTACTAAAGTTCTTTTAATCTTCTAGAATCCTCTATTAAAATGTAATACCATGAGCCATTGTTAGCTCTTTCTGAGTAGAAGTATCATCATAAAATTTGTAAGCTTCTAAAGACATTGGTTAACAGGGTTTGCTTCCCAGATGCTTCAAAAGGTACAGGCAGGGCGCCTGTGTGGCTCAGTCGTTAAGCGTCTGCCTTCGGCTCAGGTCATGATCCCAGGGTCCTGGGATCGAGCCCCGCATTGGGCTCCCTGCTCGGCGGGAAGCCTGCTTCTCTCCCTCTCCCACTCCCCCTGCTTGTGCCCCCTCTCTCGTTGTGTCTCTGTCGAAAAAATAAATAAAATCTTAAAAAAAAAAAAGGTACAGGCAGCTGGGGGCAAGTCTTTATAGCACTGCTACCCAAGGGAGGGGCCTGGACAGACCTTGAGAGGCAAAAGGCCCTTAGAGCCTTAAGGAGAAACCCACTGCATTTCTAATTTTGCCCAAAGCTGCCCTCCATTGACCTAAAGATTCTTTCTGGGCCATAACCACAAAGGACAGGACTTCTGGTGCATGTAAGCGGTCAGCAGGACCTCTGAAGTCCCTGAGCTGGAAGGCCGTGAATGAGCAGGTTTTCCAGAGGAGTCAGTTCCACCGTAATTAAGGGGCTGACTGGGGACATATGGTAACCCTGACAGGCTCTCAGGGGGTCACTTGACAGTGGGAAGGATTCCCCCCTTGAATTTCACGTCACAGCATGGTGACTGAGTCCTGATGGGTCAGCACTCTCTTCACACACAGCCACCGCTGAAAGAAGCACCACCAGGGCTGATTAGAAACGTTCATTATTACGTTTCCTAACCTCAAGTGAGGCACTCAGCAGCCTCATCTCCAAGGACATTCATGCCTGACCTCTCTTGTGACACATAATTATTTTTAGCAGCTTGACTTTTTTTTTTATATTGGTGAATTCTGTTTTAATATTAATGTCCCCGCTTTCAACGTCTCCTTTCCTTGGTGCAATTTCCACACATTTCCTGGCTTGGAATAAGCCTGTATTTGCTGCAATTGAGCTGATTTGCCAGGGCTGAGAGATTGGTGTTGTTTCCCTATGCCAAACAAGGTCTTTATTGCATTTTAGAAAACACACACTTTTCTTCTGTAGGGAATTTCTTGCTAAAATCGCATGGATGGCTTGCTGCTTCGTCACCGGCTCAGCTGGATCTGCGAAGGCGCCCCTGTGACTTTTCCCCTCGGCTTCATATTAGTGTCAGCTGAGAATTATTTTTTATCCCATTCACTTTGTGTGGAAAGAGATGATTCAACCTTACCATGAGACACTTTTAAGAAACTTAATCGTAAATAAAAATTGCTCTTTTACTGCATGAGGGTTCCTCACATATCCAAATCCTGATCGTGAGAGCTTTGCAGCATCTCTTTGCTTTTACTAATGCCACCTGCCAATGCTTTCCCACCAGTGCTACTGTATATTCTTCATCACATGTGAACCCTGTAAGCTGGGCACAGGGAGAGGATCTTGATATTTGACTCTGGGTTTTGTTCTGTTTTGTTTTCTGGTGCTAACATGTTAATAGTTATAATAAAGATCTGAAGTTTGTAGTAATCATCAATGTGGTATTTTAAAAGAGCAATCAAGTGAGTCGTAGATCCATGAATAATTTTGCCTATAAATTCATTGAGACATAGGTCACTTCTCTGATAAGTTCAGAAGAAAACTCAGCAAATGAGTGACTGAAGTCAGAACAAGACAACTGGTTTCCTGAGTAAAACTGATGTTTCAAACAACGGCTCTGGTGCCATGGAGACCGAGACATAGAAAAATTCCTATGGTTTACCAAACCAGGGACCTTGAAAATAACAAAGAAAAGAAATTCCTGGAAATGACTCCTCACCAAAGATTGACCCTAAGATTGGTACAGTTCGAAAGACCACCTAATTGATAACCTACAGCTTTCTGCTTATATGCCCAAGAACCCAGCTGGAGCAAATCGATGACTAATAGTGGGCAGGGACCAGGTGTATGCTCATTTTTATCTAGGTTCTGTACCTTGAATGGCAGCTCGATTCCATAGGAGAAGTGCCATTGGATACATCTTCTCTTTTTCAAGAATTTTAGCCTTTTCTAAAAAAAGGAGACATTTCATTAGGAAGGCTTAAAATACCCATGTAGTAAAGTCATTTATGCATATGTATGATTGGGGAATTGCAGAGAATTTTAACTTATCTTACTAGATTCCAAAATGAATGCTGAATTGCTTTGAGCTACTTCATACCCCATTTCCGCAAGTAGTGCATACTGAACAAGAGAAGAATCTATATCACCATCTTTATAGGCAAAGTATGCTGTCAGGAATTTCTCAGCCCAGTGGCCTAGTTCACAGACACCTTTATAAAGCTGTACATGGAAAAAGAAATCAAGCAGACTAGTTAGCCGATATACTTCATCCCAGGCAAATGATAAATGAAGTCAATCTTCAGCTTCTGCTGGCTGGTCAGGCAAGGATTTGGGGTCTAAAACATGGCTTCTGAAAATTATTTAGGGGGAAGAGATAATACCTTTCATAGGCACAAAGATTACAAGTATATATTTTTTGGTCTTGAGCTGAAACTTCCTGAGGCTTATTTTAAATTTATGTAATAAACTCTCCTGACTTAGAGGCTATTTCGCAGGACAAGAATGTATCGACTTCTATTTTTTAAAAAAAGGATTTTCTGGGTACTGCTGCTCTGCCAGGGTGAATTGTAAGGCCACAGCTGATGTGGGAAGGAGAGAATGAAGGGAAGACAGTGCCTGAGGGTGTAGGTGACATAACCGCGAGGGAGGTGTGCAGAGCTCTGTGGGGACAAGCGTCAACTTAGCTGAATAGCCCTTATGTAACCAAAAGAGGTTAGCCATACATAATTCATCAGGAAGTTGGCAAAGGAGCAAATCTAAAGATAGATTATTAGCTGGCAGCTTTTGAAATGAGTTTCAGAGGGGCCAGATTGCAACATGGAGGTATTTATATTGGTGCAGCGGAAGTGTTTAATAAATCAATGAAGGGCATTAAGGTCCTAAAAGCTTTCCTTTGAAAAGTACATCACTGGCTCGGGCTGAAAGGATCACTTTCTTAGTTGTCATCCAAATCATCAAGAACCTAAGGGCCTTGCTTTCTGGGAAGAAGTGGGCTACATTTTCTGGGCTCAACCAAGCCTTTCATTTCCCAAGTCACAACTCCCAATCCCACTGAGAAGTGCCAAAATGCCCTGGCCATTTGACTGAAGGCTGAGACCGAGCCCCTTAACTGAATTCTGAGGTGAGCTCTGAACCTGATGAAAAGCCAAAAGCAAGAGAGGAGGGATCATTTCTCTTCTTCCCTTTCCCAGCCCAAGTTATGTTTACATCACAGCTTTTCCGCCCTGGCAAGTGTCCGTGTTCACACTCTCAACTGGGAGAGGTAATACCTATAAAATCAAAGGCACCAACAACTTAAGGACAGTATCACCTCCTCTCTGTGATAAATGAAGAACGCTTTAGAAACATCCCATTATTTACCTCCACAGCAGTTCTGCACGATCTTAACACTCCCCTTCCTGTCGCGTACATCTTGGCCAGGTAATAAATGGCGAGGGGTTGCCCACTCTGAGATGCCAAGTAAAAGTATTTGAAGGCAAGTTTATAATCCTTCCATACTCCAGAGCCAGCTGAAAATTAAAATTATTTTGAGCCACCCCTTATTCGTTTTATTTTTTATGTTATAATCTATGGGTATAATGGTCACAGTGATGCTTACTGTTTTACACTTGATCTTAGCCAAAAGTAGGATGAGAAAAACCAACCAAAAATCAAGCTGCTATAGATCCACTATTTGGAGGGGAAAGAAGTTAAGTTTGATTATAAGGAAAACTATGGGAATTTATGTTCTTGACCCATTCAGAAACCTGAAGAAGAAAGACTCTTCAGTCTCATGAAAATATCTCCTTAATATGGCACACCTAAGGTTAATAAAAAGGAGACCAAGAGGTGGTCTCTGAGGACCAGGGACAACATCAGGACGTGGCTCACCATTCTTGCCCTTCCATACCAGAAGACCAGTAGAGCTCCTCCCAGCCGTAATTACAGAGTTTGGAGCAGGCGAACTCCAGCTCCCAGAGGCCCAGCTCAGACTCAACTCATGCTTGTAGTAGCAAGGAGAGGCATTTAGGGCTAGGGTGGAAAATCAGCTCACTCTCAGCAGCTTGTCCTGGCTCTCTCGTTACCCCTTTGTGAGTTGGGCACCTCTAGGCACTTCATTTGTAAAAGGAGAGGCTTTCACTAGATGGTCCTTAACCTGTCTTCCAGTTCTCAACATTTCATAAGCTTTAGAAGCAGTGCCACTAAGAGCAAAGTCTCTGGAGGCAAATCACTTGGGTTTGAATCCCAGTTCCACTAACTGTGTGATCTTGGGCAAGTTGTTGGACCTTGATGTGCCTCAGTTTGCTCATCTATAAACTGTAGGATACCCCTACACGTGTTGAGAGGACTAAATGAGTAAATACACATAAAGACTTAATAAACATTACTATTACTCTGATTCTAGAGGCTTGAGGAATCTGATAGACCCTGGGCCTGCCGATGATGCAATCTGCTGCTGCCCTAGCTCCACGTCTGAAAGGAAGGACTTCGGATACTCAGGTGTGTTCAGATCTCTTGGTATTCATCTTGGGCACTCCCTCTCTCAATCCCCACAGAGCATTACAAACTTTCACGGCTTTCTGAGACCTCCTACCCCAATCACTCTACCTTTGCTCTCAGAAGACAACTTGGTACCTCCTGGCTCCTTGAGGAAATTCTTACATTGTCTTTTCTCACTTGCCTCTCTCTTCCTCCCTCCACATTTACATCTGCACCATCCTTTCCTCCAACTCTCCAGTCTTTGAGAGTGAGAAATCCCTCCTCTTTATCAAGACTAAGGAGGGCTCCACTTAGCTGAGTGCAATCAGATCCTAATACCACCCAACTTTTTCTAGAACTTCTTCACCAATTATCTCATCACTCCCAAGACACATTAACCATCTCCATTGGCTGGCTCTGTTTTTGACAAAGATTATACCCAGGTCTCTCATAATCTTAAAAAGAACTCCCTCTTGGTTCTTGGTCCCCCTCATGCCACTGTTCCATCTCTCTTCTTCCATTTAAAGGCACACAACTTCCAAGAATATTTTTACTCATCTACTTTCTCACCTTCTATTCATACCTCAATCCATCCTATGTGGCTTCTACCCCAACCAGTCCAGTGACCACACAAACATTCTCTATATTGACAAGTCTCATGGATTCTCTGCCCTTTCTTATTTGTTTGTTTTTGTTTTTGTTTTGAAGAAGCAGGCTTCTCATTGCATTTCCCAGGGGTGATCATTCATTTATTCTTTCTTGAAGTTATATCCTGTGGCTTCCTTAAGATTACTTTTCCCTCTTATGCCTCTGACCATGCCTTTTAAGTCTTTTTGTGACTACTCTTTCTCTGCCCATCTTTTCAGTACAACACTGAGGACTACCAGATTTCTGACCATGGCCCACTGTTCCTCTCATGCTCTCCCTCTTTATTTTTGAGTGTCTCAGCTACTTTTAACTAACTCCTGTATGTTGATGCCTCCCAAATCTTTCTCTTCAAGTCTGACTTTTCTTGTGAGTTTCATAACTGCTTTTGGGTATGCCCATTGGATAATCACAAGGCACCTTAAACTCAACCTTTTCAAAAGTGAGCTTCCTGACTGTACCTCCTTGCTTCCTCCCTCAACTGGTGTCCTCTTCTTAAGTCTTCAAATTCCTCCTTCAATTGCTGCCTCAATATTCTATCTAAACCAATCACTCCAACAATTTGATCTTTGTTAAAAAAGGAGTAGACTTAATAATGCATTTGTCATTCTTGGTATAGCAGCCATATTTGTAGCACTTACAGTAGTACATGAAGCCTAATTGAAACTGTGCATTGGGCCATCCTTTCTCTGCAGCTTTCTGAAAGTATTTAAGTGCTTCAGCATAATTCTGCAAGATAATTACACTCTATTACTCAAAGGTGTATTTATAACTCCATGGTAACAATTGCCTTCCACTTAAAAAAAAAAGAGTATAGATAGTGCTTTATGTGATTTAGGCTAATTAAAATAGTATCAGAAGTATCATATACTTTATTTCATTATTATATTGGATTCTATTTGGAAATAATTATCTCATATTCACTGTAAATTATGTCTTTTCCTACACTGACAGTAGGTTTTGTTAAATATTGGGGGAAGATCACTCAAAAGGCAGAGGTTACACTAAGAAGATAAATTTCTCTATCAGAAAAAATCCTCGGAGGTTGTATGATTAATAAGGTTACTTAGAATCTATAACTCTAAGATATAATTAGGGTTGTTATTCTTGTCACAGATCTGTTCTGTGTCTCTTTGGCAAATATTCCACTAGATTGTTATATTTTCTATTGTCAAATATGATAGTTTGGCAAACCAGATATTAAAGACTAATTCATTTTAATTAGTCAACGATCATGAATTTTACCCTATAAATTGCGAGAAATGTGTTGAAAAGATAAAGAAATTTTTTAACTTACCACAGGAACTCCTTTCCCATAAAAGTAAAGAAGACCAAGCCCATGAAGACCAATTGCATTGCCCTGGAACAGTTTTAAAAATCCAAGTAAAGTCCCAGAAGAATTCATGATGAGGAAAATTATGACAAAATCATTCTAAATATTTAAAATGTACCCAATAGGGGATTAAATCAAGGCAAGTTAATCAGGCAGTTGGTAAATTACTCTGTCTCTCTCTAGTTTCTCCTTTCCTACCTTCACAACCCCCTTTGACTAGAAAAGAGGGAAATGAAGGTCAAATCTTTTCTCCATTCTTTCACTCAGCATTTATTTAGTGCTTGCTTTGTGTGTAGCTCCATAATAGGTGTTAGACTGAGGTAGGAGGTGAAAGTTAAAAGTTGAATGAACGATGATCCCTGCCTCAGAGAGTTCACTGGCTAGTGGGCTCTGATCAACTAGGTAGCGCCTCTTAAAATAGCCAAGTCAAATGGGTAAGTCCTATAGTAGAATCAGATTCAGGAATGTTGTGGACACCTAGTTGTATATTGTTGTGGACATCAACAGCCTAGATAAGCCTAGGGACTGAGGGGATTGAGTTGTCAAAGGTGGTTGACATTTGAGCTTGGTCTTGAAGGTTGTGTAGGAGCTTTCCAGAAGGAAGTCTATCCAGACACTTGTTACCTGCTTTGGTCAAAGGAGGTTGATGTAAATGGCGAATTAACATTTTAGAGATTCTGTGAATTTCAATCTAACCATTATGGATGATAAAGCACTGTTGGTATATGTTTCTTTATTCAAATATGTTTCTTTATTCAAATTTGACTGCTTATAACATCATCAATGTCTTCTTTTCCGCTTGATGCTAAATTAATTACCATTTCTTTTTCTAATTAGTATTCTAAACAGTCTAGGGAAGGGAGTTTTTAGCATGTTTTAGCATTCAATGCATGTTCAAATATATTGATATTCAGCATATCAATCCAGGATGAAGAGTGAACCTTAAAAGTGACTTCCCCAACCAGGAAACTCACTTTTCTTTTTGTCTCCCATCATGTATTTCACTCTTTCGTGACTGAGTGAGGAGGCACATTTGGCCCACCTGTCATTTAGCCGATCTGTAAGTTTGTTTTACAGGTTTATAGTATTTCCTCAGGAACTCAAGTTTTGATTGAAAGCTCTCCAGATTTCTTCTTACCTCCTAAATGGAGTTATTGTGGATGCAGCCAGAGTACCTCTCAGTGATACAAGAATAGCACATAACTAGAGAAGGCATAGTTGAAAAACAATTTCAAAACTCCAAAGTTTGAGCTTACGCATACCAAAGGGCCAGCTATTATAACAATTCTTAAGGATGGTCCAGCTGTATTTAAAACAGGTGGAATACAGCTGCTCTCTTCTTCCCGCTTGTTTCCATGACTACATCTACCTGTGGTCCTAGGACTCTTGGGATGGTCTGGTAGTAAGGCCTGCTGTGATGGATGTGGTAAAGTCTGGTGAGTCTGTCTTCCAACTGTCCTCATTTTAGGTCTTGAGAAAAATGGAAGGGAAGGGAAATAAGAAGAGGGAAGGAGGAAGGGAGAAAATAGGGTACAGGTTCTAACTTTTGACTCACCAACTGCTTAAAGACCAGGGGACTCATTTATAATTTTCAGGTCAGGAGTAGCCAATTCAGATATACCTCCAGGAGCCATTCAGGTACCATAAGAAGTACATTAATCCAGGCGATAGAGTGACAGAGATTGAGACAAAAGAGAGGGTTCCTGCCCCGTCTCAAGGCAGCAGCAACCCCTCCGCTCTCTGCTCCAGACCACTGTTGTCACATAGAATGGCAGCCTCAGCTGGTCAGCTCTTCCCATTTTCCAAGAAAAGCTGGATGTCCAGACTTTTATATGACATTTCCTAATCTTTGTTACTTCAGTATAGTTGACACACAGTGTTACATTAGTTTCAGGTGTATAGGTCTATACGTTATGCTATGCTCACTGCAAGCGTAGCTACTATCTGTCACCATGTGAGATTTCCTACTCTTTGAAACACTTTCTGGGCCAAACAGAACATACGTATAGGCAATCCCCCCATATATAACTTCCACTTCAGGGCTCAGAGCTCTTGCTTAGGTTAACTGACATGAACTTAGAGAGCAGATGGTCATTATTTGTCAAACATTTAATGAGCCTCTACTAGGTAGTAAGACCACCATCCTCCTCTAGTTGAGGAGACATGGTCTTCAGACAGTATGAGAGAAGGCACAAGGTAGAAGCAGTAAAGTTCCAGCAGTACAGAGAGTGAATGTAGGGCAAGTGCAGAAGAGGGGAAAATTGTATGAACCAAGGTGGGTAGAGATGGCTTTGTGGAAGGAGAGAGGATTGAGTTCTCCTCTGGGGGTTGGGTAGGATTCAGAATGGGGGATTTTGGGAAGGGAAGCAAAATGACAAAAGTGTGAAGATGAGGATGGGCCTGATGTGTTCAGAGGTGTGAAAGAGAAAAGCAGAAGGGCACTCCTGGGTGGCTCAGTTGGTTAGGTGTCTGCCTTTGGCTCAGGTCATGATCCCAGAGTCCTGGGATTGAGTTCCACATTAGGCTCCTTGCTCAGCAGGGAGCCTGCTTCTCCTTCTGCCTCTTCCTGCTGCTCCCTCTGCTTGTGCTCTCTCTCTCTCTCTCTGACAAATAAATAAATAAAATCATAAAAAAAAGAGAGAAAAGCAGAAGAATATGGTCCAATATGGACCAAACAGGATAACTGCTCATGTTTCTGAGTAAATAAGATAAAAGAAATCACAAAGACTGTAGCTTTGCATTCTGGTACTGATGTGACTTAAAAACAAATTTAAAAACGTATGTATGGTTATAGACATTGGGGAGGGTATGTGCTATGGTGAGCGCTGTGAATTGTGTAAGACTGTTGAATCACAGACCTGTACCTCTGAAACAAATAATACATTATATGTTAAAAAAAAAAAAGAAGAAGATAGTAGGAAGGGAAAAATGAAGGGGGGGGGGGAATCGGAGGGGGAGATGAGCCATGAGAGACTATGGACTCTGAGAAACAGGCTGAGGGTTCTAGAGGGGAGGGGCATCGGGGGATGGGTTAGCCTGGTGATGGGTATTAAGGAGGGCACGTATTGAATGGAGCACCGGGTGTTATGCACAAACAATGAATCATGGAACACTACATCAAAACTAATGATGTAATGTATGGTGATTAACATAACATAATAAAACTTAAAAAAACGTGTGTGTGTGTACTTTTTTTTTTTTAAGTAGTGAAAGAAAAGTGTGGATATGCAGAGTGGAAGACAGAAACCCTTTACTTTGGTAGTGACCCCAAGTGAGAAATCTAATAAACCATCCAGGTGATGATAAAGGAATATATATGGTCATGTCCACCTGATGCCATTCAGAATAATTAACCTAAATATAATTTCAGATTTTCTCTGTAAAGAAAGGTAGCTCAGTTTTAGAACACAAGTAGCTCAGATCCCTGCTGGTTACACAGCCCTGAATAGCTTGGGAGCTGGGTTAATTTACACATCCAGCCTCCTGGCATTATTCCTTTGGGATGACAAATCAGTGTTATTTGCCAGATTACAAGAGATCTTCCTGTTACATTACCCCACCTTCTTTTCAGTTGGCTTTCCCTTGTCATCCTAATCTAATGGTACTCCAGATAACCAGCCTGCTGAGCAAAAATTTCTTATAAATTACGAGGGAGAGGAGCTGAGTACCAGCCTTCTCAGTAATTTACACCACAATAGCAGCAGCTCCGAGGTGCTAGTCATTTATAAATAGGCTCCTAAAGCAATGTGTGGGCTTTTAAAAACTGAGAGCAGTTGAAAATATTCCCCAATTTGAGCACATCTTTACCCCCAGTGTTGCAGTATGGGGTTGTAAGACAACACAATGCTTCCTACTGTGCAGGGTTAGAAAGTTTATCAGGGCCATTCCCCAACATTAGGCTGATGAGTGTGGCAATGAGGATGTTCTTAATGCACCGAAGGGATTCAGAGTAGTCTACTAAGTTTTATCAGACAGATGCCAGCTCACTGAGCCCAGGAATCAAGACAAAAATTTTCATGGCAGGAGCTATATTATTCCATTTTTATATTCCCTCACAGGTCCAATCAGTTCTGGCTTGGATATGCTTTGAGGTTCACGCCACCTCACAAGATAATAGCTGACACACTGTGTCTACTGTAAGCCAGGAATTATTGCTTTAAGGACTTTGCAATACCAGGCCCATAAATATTAACCTATTAAATCCTGGCAACAACATTATGAGGCAAACTTACATTCCCATTTGACAGATGGGGAAATCGAGGCACAAAGAGGCTATGTAACTTGCCCATGGCCACACAGGCAGTGTGCTGCAGGGCTGGCATTTAAACCACGGATTCTGCCTCCAGAGCCATGCTCTAAACCATCTTGTCCCGGTCCCCTGTCTGATGGTCTTCTGCTTGGGCCAGGGGAGTTTCTGGCCTTTGGGGGCGATCGAACTGGAAAACACTGGGCACTTCTTATTTGTCTTTGTCCTGAACTTACTGCAGATGTTGTTTGAGTTTTCCCTTCCTCTGTCCTTGTCCCTTTTATTTCCCGTTTCCTGAGCTAGATGGCCTCACCTACTGCACGGGGGAGGGGAAGCTGAGATTTGTCTGGCCCCCTGCTAGCGCAGCATATGTCGCTGCCATTTTTCATTTACTAAGAAGACAAGTGATGTTTCCCCCTATCCCAACGCCCTATTTCATTGCCAGTGATATTCTTCTTCTCCAGGACACAGAACTCCCAGGCTCATTAGCTGGGCATGGGGCTTTGGAATCAACTTTTTGGCATCAGTCTGCATGTAATAAAAGCCAAATGTTTTTCTGGACTTATACGAATGGGCTGAAGACATACCTTACTGGCTGCCATGGAAAAGTATTTGAAGGCAGTAGCATTATTTTGTGGTGCTGCCACATTCCCCTCTAAATACATCTAAAAAAAACAAACAAACAAAGAGGACGTAAAAAACTAAGGAATTTGTGGGTGATTAAAATATGTTTTAGAGCTACATAGAAATGATGGTTGCACAATATTGTGAATGTAGTAAATGCCACTGAATGATACACTTTAAGATGGTGAATTTTATGTTATTTGAATTTCATCTCAATTTTCATAAAAGGAAAAACTAAGGAAATAATCTATTACATACATTCTGGGGTGACCTTGCTGGAGGGCAAAGAAATGGACGCTGTTTGTGTTTTCTCACATTTTTTTCTTTTTCTTTATTATTTTATAACACCCAGTGCTCCACACAGAATGTGCCCTCCTTAATACCCAACACCAGCTAACCCATTCCCCCACCCCCTCACCTCTAGAACCCTTAGTTTGTTTTTCAGAGTCCATCAGCTCTCACAGTTTGTCTCCCCCTCCGAATTCCCCCCTTCATTCTTCCCCTCCTGCTATCTTCTTCTTTTTTTTTTAACATATATTGCATTATTTGTTTCAGAGATACAGATCTGTGATTCAACACTCTTGCACAATTCACAGCGCTCACCATAGCACATACCCTCCCCAAAGTCTATCACCCAGCCACCCCATCCCTCCCACCCCACCCCCACTCGTTTGTTTCCTGAGATTAAGAATTCCTCATATCAGTGAGGTCATATGATACATGTCTTTCTCTGATTGACTTATTTCACTCAGCAAACCCCCTCCAGTTCCATCCACGTCATTGCAAATGGCAAAATCTCATTCCTTTTGATGGCTGCATAATAAGCCATTATACATATATACCACATCATCTTTATCCATTCATCTGTCAATGGATATTTGGCTCTTTCACAGTTTGGCTATGGTGGACATTGCTGCTATAAGCATCGGGGTGCACGTACCCCTTCGGATACCTACATTTATATCTTTAGGGTAAATACCCAGTAGTGCAGTTGCTGGTTCGTATGGTAGCTCTATTTTCAACTGTTTGAGGAACCTCCATACTGTTTTCCAGAGGGGATGCACCAGCTTGCATTCCCACCAACAGTGAAGGAGGGTCACCCTTTCTCCACATCCCTGCCAACATCTGTCTTTTCCTGACTTGTTAATTTTAGCCATTCTGACAGGTGTGAGGTGGTATCTCATTGAGGTTTTGATTTGGATTTCCCTGATGCTGAGCGATGTTGAGCACTTTTTCATGTGTCTGTTGGCCATTTGGATGTCTTCTTTGGAAAAATGTCTGTTCATATCTTCTGCCCATTTCTTGATTGGATCATTTCTTCTTGGGGTGTTGAGTTTGATAAGTTCTTTATAGATTTTGGATACTAGCCTGTTATCTGATATGTCATTTGCAAATATCTTCTCCCATTCTGTCGGTTGTCTTTTGGTTTTGTTGACTATTTTTTTGCTGTGCAAAAGCTTTTTATCTTGATGAGATCCCAATAGTTCATTATTGCCTTTGCTTCCCTTGCCTTTGGCGATGTTCCAAGGAAGAAGTTGCTGTGGCTGAGGTCAAAGAGGTTGCTGCCTGTGTTCTCCTTTAGGATTTGGATGGACTCCTGTCTCACGTTTAGGTCTTTCACCCATTTGGAGTCTATTTTTGTGTGTAGTGTAAGGAAATGGTCCAGTTTCATTCTGCATGTGGCTGTGCAATTTGCCCAACACCGTTTGTTGAAGAGATTGTCTTTTTTCCATTGGACGTTCTTTCCTGCTTTGTCAAAGATGTGTTGACCATAGACTTGAGGGTCCATTTCTGGGCTCTTTATTCTGTTCCATTGATCTATGTCACTGTTTTTGTGCCAGTACCATACTGTCTTGATGATGACAGCTTTGTAATAGAGCTTGAAGTCCGGAATTGTGATGCTGCCAGCTTTGCTTTTCTTTTTCAACATTACTCTGGCTATTCGGGGTCTTTTCTGGTTCCATGCAAAATTTAGAATTATTTGTTCCATTTCTTTGAAAAAGGTGGATGGTATTTTGATGGGGATTGCACTGAATGTGTAGAATGCTCTAGGTAGCATTGACATCTTCACAATATTTGTTCTTCCAATCCATGAGCATGGAACCTTTTTCCAATTCTTTGTGTCTTCTTCAATTTCTTTCCTGAGTATTTTATAGTTTTCTGAGTACAGATGCTTTTCCTCTTTGGTTAGATTTATTCCTAGGGATCTTACAGTTTTGGGTGCAACTGTAAATGGGATCGACTCCTTGATTTGTCTCTCTTCTGTCTTGTTATTGGTGTATAGGAATGCCACTGATTTCTGTGCACTGATTTTATATCCTGCCACTTTACTGAATTCCTGTATGAGTTCTACTCATTTTGGGGTGGACTCTTTTGGGTTTTCTACATAAAGTATCATATCATCTGCAAAAAGTGAGAGTTTGATTCTTCTTTGCTGATTTGGATGCCTTTGATTTTTTTTTGTTGTCTGATTGCTGTGGCGAGGACTTCTAATATTATGTTGAATAGCAGTGGTGATAGTGGACATCCCAGCCGCATTCCTGACCTCGGGGGGAAAGCTCCCAGTTTTCTACAAACCTAGAATAAGTTTGTAGCTAATATCATTAGCTGTAGGTTTTTCATACATGGCTTTTATGATATTGAGGTATGTACCCTCTATCCCTATACTCTGAAGAGTTTTGAACAAGAAAGGATGCTGTACTTTGTCAAATGCTTTTTCTGCATCTATTGAGAGGATCATATGATTCTTCTTCTTTCTTTTGTTAATGTATTGTATCACGTTGATTGATATGTGGATGTTGAACCAACCTTACAGCCCAGGGATAAATCCCACTTGCTCGTGGTGAATAATCATTTTCATGTGCTGTTGGATCCTATTGGCTGGTATTTTGGTGAGAATTTTTGCATCCATGTTCATCGAGGATATTGGTCTGTAATTCTCCTTTTTAATGGGGTCTTTGTCTGGTTTGGGGATCAAGGTAATGGTGGCCTCATAAACGAGTTTGGAAGTTTTTCTTCCATTTCTATTTTTTGGAACAGTTTCAGGAGAATAGGTATTAATTCTTCTTGAAATGTTTGGTAGAATTCCCCTGGGAAGCCATCTGGCCCTGGGATCTTGTTTTTTGGGAGATTTTTGATGACTGCTTCAATTTCCTTAGTGGTTATAGGTCTGTTCAGGTTTTCTGTTTCTTCCTGGTTCAGTTTTGGTAGTTGATACATCTCTAGGAATGCAGCCATTTCTTCTAGGTTATCTAATTTGCTGGCATAGAGTTGCTCATACAATGTTCTTATAATTGTTTGTATTTCTTTGGTGTTGGTTGTGATCTCTCCTTTTTCATTCATGATTTTGTTGATTTAGGTCATTTCTCTTTTCTTTTTGATGACTCTGGCCAGGGGTTTATCAATCTTGTAAATTCTTTCAAAGAAACAGCTCCTAGTTTCGTTGATCTCTTCTACTGTTCTTTTGGTTTCTATTTCATTGATTTCTGCGCTGATCTTTATTATTTCTCTTCTCCTGCTGGGTTTAGGCTTGATTTGCTGTTTTTTCTCTAGCTCCTTTAGGTGTAGGATTAGGCTGTGTATTTGAGACCTTTCTTGTTTCTTGAGAAAGGCTTGTATTGCTATATACTTTCCTCTTAGGACTGCCTTTGCTGCATCCCAAAGATTTTGAACAGTTGTGTTTTCGTTTTTATTTGTTTCCATGAATTTTTTAAATTCTTCTTTAATTTCCTGGTTGACCCATTCATTCTTTAGTAGGATGCACTTTAGCTTCCATGTATTTGAGTTCCTTCTGACTTTCCTCTTGTGATTGAGTTCTAGTTTCAAAGCATTGTGGTTTGAACATATGCAGGGAATAATCCCAAACTTTTGGTACCGGTTGAGACCTGATTTGTGACCTAGGATGTGATCTATTCTGAAGAATGTTCCATGGGCACTAGAGAAGAATGTGTATTCCATTGCTTTGGGATGGAATGTTCTGAATATGCCTGTGAAGTCCATTTGGTCCACTGTGTCATTTAAAGTCTTTACTTCCTTGTTGATCTTTTGCTTAGATGATCTGTCCATTTCAGTCAGGGGGGTGTTAAAGTCCCCCACTATTATTGTATTGTTGTCAATGTGTTCCTTTGCTTTTGTTATTAATTGCCTTATATAATTGGCTACTCCCATGTTAGGGGTATAGATATTTACAATTGTTAGATCTTGTTGGATAGACCCTTTAAGTAGGATATAGAGTCCTTCCTCATCTCTTATTACAGTCTTTGGTTTAAAATCTAATTTGTCTGATATAAGGATTGCCACCCCAGCATTCTTTTGGTGTCCATTAGCATGGTAAATGGTTTTCCACCCCCTCACTTTCAATCTGGGGGTGTCTTTGCAACTAAAATGAGTCTCTTGCAGACAGCATATTGATGGGTTTGTTTTTTATTTTTATTTCATTTATTTATATTTTTAAATCTTTTATTTATTTATTCATGAGAGTCAGAGAGAGAGAGAGAGAGAGACAGAGACAGAGGCAGAGGGAGAAGCAGGGTGTTTGGACCCTGGGATAATGACCTGAGCCAAAGGCAGACACTCAACCATCTGAGCCACCCAGGCGCCCGGGTCTTGTTTTTTAATCCAATCTGGTAGCCTCTGTCTTTTGATTGGGGCATTTAGCCCATTTATATTCAGGGTAACTATTGAAACATATTAATATAGTGTCATCGTATTGCCTGTAAGGTGACTGTTACTGTATATTGTCTGTGTTCCTTTCTTGTCTATGCTGCTTTTAGGATCTCTCTTGCCTTAGAGGACCCCTTTCAAGATTTCTTGGACGGCTGGTTTCGTGTTTGCACGTTCCTTTAGTTTTTGTTTTTCCTGGAAGCTTTTGAGATCTCTTTCTATTTTCAATGGCAGCCGAGCTGGATATAGTATTCTTGGCTGAATATTTTTCTCATTTCGTGTTCTGAATATATCATGCCAGTCCTTTCTGGCCTGCCAGGTCTCTGTGGATAGGTCTGTTGCCAATCTAATATTTCTACCATTATAGGTTACAGATCTC